CCCCCCCGTCATCCACCCCCTCGGCTTCTTTAAAAATTAAAAAATAAAATAAAATAAAATCTTTGATGTGTATATTCATCTTATCCGGTGTCCTCAGAAGAGGTGTCAAGGCCCTCCCCTGCCTCCACCCACGCAGCCCTCCCCCAGGCTCAACCATGCTGTCTCCATCTTAACTCCAGCCACTTCTTCATTAAGCGGCGGAATTAACCCCTTCTCGCCAAAAAAAAAATAATAAAATAATCAAGGACCTCCCCATCGGTCATCACTTTCTACCTTCCCCATCCTCTTCTCTCTCATCCAAAAAAATCCCTAAAATCCACCAACTGAGGTTATTTTTGCCCCGTTCCCCATCTGGGAAATACCAACGCAGGGTTTAACCCTTCCAGAGAACCCTCCAGGGCTTCCAACTGCTTCACCATGAGGTGCCACCTTCTCAACCCCCACTCCGTGAAAAGAATCCACCACCTTCTTCTCCTCAAGGATTATTTTTAAAGCTACAAACCCCAACCAGCCCCATCTGCAGCCTCTTCCCTACAGTCCAACCCAGCCGTGGGGTGCAGGGGGTGCATCCACCACCCCACCACCACCAGTGACACAACCTGAAGACTTCCCTCCACTCTCCATCACACCCCCCCTCGCCCACCCCTTCCATCTGATTAACCCCGAGTCCCATCTCAGAGGACTCTGGGCCACCTCGGGTCTTCACGGTTGTCCTTACAACACCCCTTTCGGGAAGACCGACATCTCTCTGCAAGTGTTTGCATCTACAGGCTTTCATCCCGGAGAATCCCTCCCACATCTCTTTTATTTTTTTGGGGAGGATAATGCGATTTTCAGCTCGCTCCGAAGGATGTTTTTTTTTATTCCCACACTCTCCTCTGACCAGCATCTCCTGGACCTGCTGGAGGGGAAGAGTCCCCATCCCTGACCTTCAGCCTCACACCGGCCACCCCACCGCCGTCTCCCCACTCCCCGGAGGAGAAGGTTTCTCCTCCCACAACCTGCTCCTTTGGTGCCAGGAGGGTGTCCTCCCCCTCTACCGGGTGGGGAGAAGCTCCCCAGGATGGATGTGACCCTCACCCTCTCATCATCTAGGGGGGGTTTGACCCACGCCAGGAGGACACCGACCCTCTGGAGATGGCACATCCCAGCACTCGGCAGCTGGGGGTCCCACCATCTTCTCCCCCTCTTTCTGTGGGGCCCCCCCATCTCCAGAAGGGGAGCGGTGGGACAAGCCCTCCCCAGGGCCACAGGACCTCCCTCTGCAGCGCTGCCGGTGCGAGGGTCACCCCCAGCCCCGGGACCTGCCTCCATGCTGTCACCCATGGAGGTGTCCACCCCACACCCCCCCCAGCTTGTGTTGGGAAGAGCAGGTCCATCCCCAGCTCCCCGTCCTGCCCCATGGCTGTGGGGTGGCAACAGACCACCCCATCCCTTGAGGCACCATCTACAGCTCCATGGTGACAGAACCCCTTCCACCCCCTGTGCTTGTGGGGGGCATGGACCCGTGTCCACTCCAATCCATGAGGTGACAGCAGCCCCCACTCCCCTCTCCCCAGCCCCACATGCTCATCTAGGGGACAACCCTCCTCCCTTTGAGGTTCTCCTCAGTGAAGTAGGGGTCACCCCAAATATCCACATGGGGGGAACTAACCCACGTCCTGCTTGGACTAACGGACACCACTCCTCCCATCTCAGCCCCACAGACACTTTTTGGGGGAACTTCTCTTCCCCTTGGATGTCCCCTCAGCACAAGGAGGGGGGACGTGCTCCTCCACCCAGAGGAGCACCGACCCATGTCCACCTTGGATAGTGAGGTGACAACGACCCCCATGTTCCCCACCTCAACCTCCCAGGCTCATTTTGTGGGAATCTCTCCTTTCTTTGGGTCATGCAAAGTGGGAGTAACCCCCGAATCTCCTCTCCTTCTCCATGTGGGGGACATCACACTGAGCACGACCACCTCATACCACGAGGTGACACTGACTGACATCCATCTCAGACCACAAGCTGACAGTGATCCCCATCTGCCCCTCCTCAGTCAGGGGACAGTAACCCACCTCCACCTCAAACCATAAGATGACACTGACCGATGTTTACCTCAGACCTGAGGTGATGCTGATCTATATCCATGCCAAATCATGAGGTGACAGTGATAACCATCCAACCCCCCTTAGCCAGAGGACAGTGACCCACCTTCACCTCAGACCATGAGGTGACACTGACCACCATCAGCCCCACCTCAGCCAGGGGACAATGATCCATCTCAAACCATAAGGTGACAGTGACCCCCATGCATCCCATGTCAGCTAGAGGACAGTGATCCACCTCCACTTCAGACCATGAGGTGAAACTGACCTACGTCCACCTCAGACCATGAGGTGAAACTGACCTACGTCCAGCTCAGACCATGAGGTGAAACTGACCACCATTAGCCCCACTTCAGCAAGGGGACAGCGACCTCCATCAGCCCCAGACCATGAGGTGACAATGATGCCCACCTGCTCCACCTCAGCCACTGGACAGCAACCCACCTCCAACCATGAGGTGACAGTGACCCATGTCCACCTTGGACCATGAGGGGGCACTGACCCACATCCATGTCAGACCACAAGCTGACAGTGATCCCCATCCACCCCACTTCAGCCAGGGGACACTGACACCCCTCAAACCATGAGGTGACACTGACCCATGTCCATTTCAAACCATGAGGTGACACTGACCCATGTCCATTTCCATGTCCACCTCAAACCTTGAGGTGACACTCACCCATGTCCACCTTGAACCATGGGGTGACACTCACCCATGTCCACCTTGAACCATGGGGTGACACTGACACACGTCCATTTCAAACCTTGAGGTGACGCTGACACATGTCTATTTCAAACCTTGAGGTGACACTGACCCACGTTCATTCCAAACCTTGAGGTGACACTGACCCACGTTCATTCCAAACCTTGAGGTGACAATGACCCATGTCCATTTCAAACCTTGAGGTGACAATGACCCACGTCCATTTCAAAGCTTAAGGTGACACTGACCCGGGTCCACCTCGAACCATGAGGTGACACTGACCCACGCCCACCTTGAACCATGAGGTGACACTGACCCACGTCCATTTCAAACCTTGAGGTGACACCCACGTCCACCTCCGCGCTGACACCGATCCCCACCCACCCCACCTCATCCAGGGGACACCTACCCCCCTCAAACAGCGTCACCCGCCCGCCCCACCTCAGCGCGGGGGGGCACGGCGACCCTCACCGGGGTGCACCCACCCACCCCCCTTCCTCTTCCCCCGGCCATGTCGGGCACCGCGCTACCGGCCACCCCCGAGGGACGGCGTCGGAGGGGGGAGCGGGGGGACACCACCAGACGTCTAACGGGGGAAGGGGGACCACCCGGCCGCCCCCTTACCTCCAGACCTGCCCCATCTGCAGCAGGTGGATGACGGTCTGCCAGACCCAGACGGAGATCCTGCAGAGGCGCTGCGCCCCGGGGGTGACGGTGGCGCCGGCTCCTCCTACCCCGCCGGCGGGTCCCCCCCGCCGGCCGACGGCCCCCATCATGGGCGGCCCGCGGCTGCTCAGGCCCTGCACGGCCCCCCAACCCACCTCCAACCATGAGGTGACAGTGACCCATGTCCACCTTGGACCATGAGGGGGCACTGACCCACATCCATGTCAGACCACAAGCTGACAGTGATCCCCATCCACCCCACTTCAGCCAGGGGACACTGACACCCCTCAAACCATGAGGTGACACTGACCCATGTCCATTTCAAACCATGAGGTGACACTGACCCATGTCCATTTCCATGTCCACCTCAAACCTTGAGGTGACACTCACCCATGTCCACCTTGAACCATGGGGTGACACTCACCCATGTCCACCTTGAACCATGGGGTGACACTGACACACGTCCATTTCAAACCTTGAGGTGACACTGACACATGTCTATTTCAAACCTTGAGGTGACACTGACCCACGTTCATTCCAAACCTTGAGGTGACACTGACCCACGTTCATTCCAAACCTTGAGGTGACAATGACCCATGTCCATTTCAAACCTTGAGGTGACAATGACCCACGTCCATTTCAAAGCTTAAGGTGACACTGACCCGGGTCCACCTCGAACCATGAGGTGACACTGACCCACGCCCACCTTGAACCATGAGGTGACACTGACCCACGTCCATTTCAAACCTTGAGGTGACACCCACGTCCACCTCCGCGCTGACACCGATCCCCACCCACCCCACCTCATCCAGGGGACACCTACCCCCCTCAAACAGCGTCACCCGCCCACCCCACCTCAGCGCGGGGGGCACGGCGACCCTCACCGGGGTGCACCCACCCACCCCCCTTCCTCTTCCCCCGGCCATGTCGGGCACCGCGCTACCGGCCACCCCCGAGGGACGGCGTCGGAGGGGGGAGCGGGGGGACACCACCAGACGTCTAACGGGGGAAGGGGGACCACCCGGCCGCCCCCTTACCTCCAGACCTGCCCCATCTGCAGCAGGTGGATGACGGTCTGCCAGACCCAGACGGAGATCCTGCAGAGGCGCTGCGCCCCGGGGGTGACGGTGGCGCCGGCTCCTCCTACCCCGCCGGCGGGTCCCCCCCGCCGGCCGACGGCCCCCATCATGGGCGGCCCGCGGCTGCTCAGGCCCTGCACGGCCCCC